GGGAGAGGGCATCAGTAACACGTTTCAACAAAACACATATTCTGAGGCTAAACAATTATACCACTCATCCATAGTGACTCAGGAGAATGCTTGAAAAAAGAATTTGACGTGTTCACCTTACCATACAGCCAAACGTCCACTGAAAAATTTACATTTATCAAAATCTTCCCTAGTATCTGCAATAACAGGAAGCAGGAAGGCCTGTGGAATTACTTGCATCATCAAGTGGGACAAATTTCCATCTGAGATTTTAGAAAAAAAAAGTATCCTGGTGAAAAACTGCACCATTATATAGTATTATTAAAAAATGACTTCAAAAAGCCCTCTTGGTGTCACAGTCTGCGGAGGGCAGACCGTGTGTGGGAGTGTGAGGATCCAGGTGCAGACACAGACAAGGAGACAGTACTAAACTTGAAACGAAAAGCGAGCCTTTATTTGGGCTGATTAAGTTCAAGTTCAAAGTTTATTCGCCACATGCAGTGGCAGGTTGCCCTGCAGTGGAATGAACCCGCCCCCCGACCTTACACATACAACACAGACATCACATGGGGATACAATTTAGAGAATGGTTGCATTACAGAAAAAACACTGAAATGTACACTACAATGGGAAAGGTACAAGAGGAAAAAAAGAGACCTCTACTCATGCTGGGCTACAGGAGGACAGCATGAGAACAGGAAACAAAAAAACTCCTCTGCACAGAAAAGCACATAAATGTCCACAGTACAACATTATAGAGCACGTGACCAGCAACAGGGTTGAGTAGGGGATAAGGAGTAATCCCAGGCAACACAGCAGCCATCCTGCTACTGCGCCGACTCTCCAGCACGGGCCCAGACCCGCCTCGTGTTCCCAGGAGGCAACAAGCATCGAAGGCATTGGAAGGGGAAGGGAAATGTGTGAGTGCTTATCAGTGTATGTGTGTGTGTGTCCGTAGTTCAGCTGAGACAGTGTCCTTCGCCCTATCAGGCTAAGTAAACAGTCTGCTAGCCAATCCAGGTGGCCTTGCATGGGATGGGAAGAATAGTCATCACACAGTTGTTATCAGGAGTTCGGCGTTCAGCTGGCGCCATGGTGTCCGCATGTTGATGTTGTCAATTTTCTTTTTATGTGAGCAGCTCAGAAGAGAAGAATTTCAAGCTGTTCTTAACACTCCGACACTGGTCTCTCAATTTTCCGTTGGAGAGCCGCAAGCCTCCCCATGATGGTATCAAACTTCTGTTCCATGGTGTTATCATTCTTTTGATTCTGAGACCCCACAACTGCAGTGAGCCGTTCTGCGATGTGATCCAACTTTCGCTCAAGGGTCTCATTTTGAGCAGGCCTCTCTCTGATGTATCTCAACATACGCTCAATGGTGTTGTTTTGAGTCTTCACGGCAGCTGTAAGCGTCTCCAAGGTGTTAACCACACTGCGTTCGTTGTGAGAGGTCACGCCTTGTCCCGTCGCTTCGATTCCAGCGGGCAGCTTTGGGGGGGATTTGAACAGCCGGTTCCGCTCTCTTATTTCTCCGTTAAGTCAGGGCCAAGCCAGCTCTAATCAGCAAGAACCCTGTTATCATGGTTCCGAATAGGTAGATATCTTCAGCGTCCTCGATCGACAGTCCCGCCAGGCACATGACCCTCCATTTCTGCCACCCATCCATCATGTATTCGGCAGGGAAAGTCCCTCAGGGCACTCGGGCTCTCCCGAGCCCAGACTCCTCGTTGAGAAAAGGGTGTCAATAGCATTCAGAGACCAGTTGATCAAATCCATAATTCTCTTTTAGTGCGACCGCCTTCGCCGAGAGCCAAGAGAGAATGATTAAAGTGGCAAACAACTGAAAGCACTGAGGCAAGACTAAACTAGAAGCTGAACTGGGAAAACTAAGAACTGACATTTAACTCAGACAACAGGGAAGGCTAAGACAAGATGACTATGATGCATATGACTGAGACAACTATGAACAGGACTCTGTGCTGGAACAACAAAGAACTATGAAACGTATGCACGCAAGCAACATAGACATGACCAGCATAGAGACCTGACACTTGGCATAACATGGGGGAAGTTGAACAGACGACGCGACGACGAACAAAGGAAGACTGAGGACTTAAATACACACATGTATACACACTCAGAGGAAGTGGAGACAAATGAGAACACAGCTGGCTAGAATGAAACATAATGACAATACAGGGGAGAGTAACACTAACTACGATGAACAAAGTACACCAGACTCTTCCAAAATAAAACAGGAAACACAGAGACATAGACATTGCACGAACTTGAGAACAAGAGCCACACAGACATGAAACATGACAGGTAGACGCACGGACCAGGGAGAGATGACAAAAGGGACTAAGAAACCAACGACTAAACTGCAAACTAGAAATCAACTAGATGCGTTAAACTACAACATGTGAATACAAAAATATGCATTAGAACTCAAACACTGGGCCTCACGACCCAGTACCGTGACACTTGGCCTTCTATTGTTAAAGAAGATACCCTTATAAGTAGCATCATTAAAAGATTATAAGAAGTGTTTTGTGTTACTTGGAAACATTTGTCTACCTAAAAGTAAGATTTAATATTTATTTTTTGGGTCATTAAACAAACCAGTTAGTGTTTGAGGAAATGCTTCTAATGGATTGTCCTTGTAATTCATTGCATTTTGCTAGAAAAAGCACTATTTTTTTGTAATGAACATATATGGTGAACCTATTTTACCCTTCAACATTATTAGCTGCATCACTGATTTAATCGGGTATAATAAGCTAATTATTGTTATCTGGGATTTATCATCATTGCATCAACAAGAATGTCATTGCTTGGAGATTCTGGTATACCATTCACAAAGCTGATATATTTTATCTGAAGAAGTTAAATCTGGGCCTTTCGATCTCGAATTGGCCAAAAGTTTGAACTAGCTGTCAAAGGCTGGCTTCTTATGTGAAATACCTTTCAAGATGTAATTTTTTAAAGAATTGATCTGTCATTGAAATTTGTGGCAATGTTTGAGCATGAATAATTTAAAAACTGAAGATGAATGCCTGAAATTTTTACTGTTCTTTCCCACCATGATCATAAGGATTAGAAATGAAGGGCAAATACATCAGAAATGTCAGATAATTGGCTTGCTGAAAAAAGTCCCATATTTAGTTTCTTAAATATGTCACTCCATTTTCAAATCATTAAAGTTTTGAACATGAACATCTTGCAAACTTTGAAAGATAAACGCTATAATTTGGGACAGATATATCAAAAATTTCTGAATACTGGCTGGTTAAGAAACAAACAAATAAAAAAACAAACTTCACATTACAAAAGAGAACAGGGCCCTATTTCAGGAAGCCGGTTTAGAAAACTCAGAGTGAAAAACGATACTCACGGTTGAGTAACCCCGAACTGTCCAACTCGGAATATTCGGTTTCAGAAAGGCTGATAACAATTAGTTCAATCAACGCGGAGTTGCTACAACCCCAAGTCAAGCGCGCGCACGAGGATACATAAAGCCCCGATTAGTGGAGCACAGATTAAGCGAGTCACCATGGAGACGGAGGGAAAGAAGGCGCGGTCGACGTATTTCACAGCGCTTGAGGCGGAAATTCTGATGGCAGCATATGCCGACAGCATGCACATCATGCAGAAAAAAAGTAACACAGCCGCAGCTGCAAAGGAAAGGGAGCATGCATGGCAAAACATAACCGACAGAGTCAATGCGTGAGTGTTAATCTAAACATTGATCTAGGGATCACCACCCATTTAACACGTCATCTCAGTATATGTCATTTCATTGCCTATGTCATACATTTTATGTTGTGATGTGATGTGAGCGCAGGTGCAACCCAACAGGCCCCAAACGTACCTGGCAGCAAGTAAAAATGAAGTATAAAAACATAGTCCAAACAGGTAAGGTGCAATTGTATTATGAGCCATAGTGCTTGGTCTGTGTGTCCTATGTAAATCAATTGCAGTTAGAGGCTACAGTAATATACCTCCTGTAAGCACATATTGAAATTATCTGAGCACATCACAAGTACACATTTGCCTACTCTGTATGCCCAAATGTGTGCCGTCACAGCCAACAGAAAAAAAGCGGAGGCCCGAAAACAGGTGGGGGTCCTCCACCACCACCACTCACAGAGGCTGAGCAGTTGGCCCTCAGCCAAAACAGTGGGCGCCCTGTGGCTGAAGGCATCTCTGCGGGGACATCCTCTGTGGCAATAACCCCACAAGACACAAGTGCCTACATAAGGGGTAAATCCAAAACAATACATGGCGTGCATACATCCATTCTGCACAGTCACCTTGACCAAAATGAACTATGTCGTAGTGAAGTCGTAGTGAATTGTCCTACTGTCAGAGAATGACAGTTATCAAACAGTCAGGTGAATAAACAACACTGAGACACTTGGAAACTGTTAACGTGCTGCACGGGTGAGGGCCCAGGGAGAGACTCACACACACCGAGCTGCAGTGGTACGTCTTTATGAAGAGCATAGCAGTGTCCTTTAATTTTGCATACATGTGTGTGTGTGTGTGTGTTAACCTCTCACAGGGTGAGCTCCCTGTTCCCAGAGACAGAGCGAGTAGTACATTTCGTACTTTTCCCAATAAGAGTAACATATGAACATATACCTTAATGCAACATAAAGCTCATAAAAGCGTTTCCACCCTGACACCTACTGATTTTGCCTTCCCTCAGTGTCGGTTGTCTCTGAGAGCATACTGACAATGAGGTGTATGGTGATTGGTATGTCTGGTAATTGCCATTTGCGCCCACATAAGTCATGAGTGACCTGTATGAACCCTATATACTTCCAGTTGATGGTGATGGTGTACTGCATCTGGTGCAGCCCCCTGTTGAGCCAGACCGACATGCAGTCGTGAGTACTCGTAATACTCCACAGACTACATGTGTCAACAGTAGAACAGCAATGTTGTTAAATGTCTCCACCACAGGCATATGATGACGAAACAGTGACAGCTGCTACAGAGGAGGCCGCAACAGAGCCACACTATGAGGTATACAGCGTAGAGTGGAAAATATAACAACTGACTACAATGTGGTACTATGATGACACCATGGACTTACTATGTCCCTGGCAGAGTGATGCTGGAAATGAAGAGGAAGAGGGTCCAGCCACTCCTACAACAAACCTTACCACAGTGGGTTGTCCAGCACTGATTTACAACCAACCTAAGTAGGCATGTACTATGGATGCCAATGCTATGTCCTTTGTTGCAATAGCTCCCTGTAAAGCAGCTGTATAAGACATATCTGGCCAGGAAGATACAGAAGTGCGACATGGAAATGGTGCACCTCCAGCTGCAGATCCAAAAGTCGAAGCTGGAGATTGTACTGCTGGAACAACAGTTAAGGGTGGGTGGAGTGATCATAGATGGAGGAATCATGTCAGTGTTTGTACAACATACTAATATACGCATTTATACTTTGTGTACAGGACATACAGGGTGACCAATAAAGCCAGTTGACCACAGTATCTGTGTATTTGTCATGTAACATGTTGGGGTGACGGGTCACAGGAAATGGTTGTGGCATATGGTGTCTCTGACTGCTCTTCCATCCTGTACGTTCGTGGGTGGGTCAGGATGTTCATCGTGTGGATCACTGCTGATGTCTGGTTCAGCTGGACAGTGTTCACCTCTAATCGTGGCAATGTTGTGTAGGATCACACATGCCACAATGATGTCACATGCCCTTTCTGGGGTGACCCTGAGTCTACGAAGGCACTGGAACCGGGCCTTGAGCATTCCGATGGTCATTTCAACTCTGGCCCGTGTCCTGCAATGGGCCAGATTATAACGCTGCTGTGGGCCCGGTTCAGGGTCAGGGTAAGGGGTGAGCAAATAGGGTAGACATGGGTACCCCCTATCACCAAGCAGGTGGCCAGTGTACTCTCCTAGGACAGAAGAATACATGTCAGTGCAAACGTCCCTGTGGCAATTGGTCTCTGTATATTTCACAGTTACTTCTACCCACCATGTCCAAATTTGGTGCTCAGTGTACATTCCCGGAAGATTCGTGAGTCATGTACAGAGCCTGGCCACTTGGCTTCCACATTTGTGATGATGTTGGCAGCATCACATATGATCTACACAGTGCAGAGAACACATATTGGCATCCATTACCATGATGCCATCACTTGTTGGTGTGAAATGCTACAGGGAATTATGTACCTGTACATTGATGCTGTGGAAGGACTTCCTGTTCACATAGTCTCCTTCATTTGCTGAGGGTGCAATGATTGGAATGTGGGTGCCATCTATACAGCCAATCACGCCTGGGAACCCTGGAAATTTATGTACCATTTGAGTGGTAGTTCACGTATCACCACATCATGCATTGAGTTTTGTTCATCCTGATACCTGCAATTTTGTGGAATCCCTCTTTGATGAATCTTGTGGGTCTGTGACCGGGGAACACCACAAACGAGTGCAGGAGACGTTTCAGTGCAACTGTAACATTCCTGACTGCCCGACAGACGGTAGCCTTGGAAACGTGCTCAGCGTCACCGATATTGTACAGAAAGCTCCCGTTTGCAAAGAAACGGAGTGCGGTACAAAGAATATGTAATGGACTGAGCGCATGTCCGGGATGTGTCACATGCGCAATATATGGCCTGAGGATGTTATCCAAATAACTTATTGATTGTGTTGAGAAACGGTAACGTTCGCACAGGAAATCATCAGGTAATGATAAAATGTCCATACGCGCTCTGATCACTCTCTCCCGGCGGAGAGCTCTGCGGAGTATTTGGGCTTCAAGATCTACTGGCTCTTCAAGGACGGGGCACGCCATGTCTGACACTTCCTACTGTCAGGTTTCCGACAAAGTGGCGGAGACAGTCAGGGTTAGTTGAAGTAAACCTGCTAGGGGGCAGGTTAGCTTCACGGAGTGTGTCGTCATAGTGACTCACTCGGGCTTCAGCTGAACTCGCTTTGTGAAACCGAAAACCCAGAGTTTTCGTTAACTCAGGGTATACTTACTCAGTTTTTCCACTAAACCGGCTTCCTGAAATAGGGCCCTGGTGACAATTTTAGAATGGCATATAATGATATTTCACTATTTACCATTTGCTATAGAAAATGCAAATTTATTCAACTTTCAAGCTGGACTGAGCAAGTATGACATACTGTACTACAAAAGAAAAATATTAGTAGATAGTCTGCTAGTTCAGGTTTTTATGTTTAATAGTTCTTGAGCTAGTCATTTTTAAAGATTCTTTCAGTTCAACTTAGTTTTATTTTTAAAGTACCAGATCACAACAAGTTGCTTAATTTTTCAAGGTAAAGCTCCTACAGTATTAAAGAGAAAACAAAGGAAGAATTCTCTTTAAACTGGAAGCGACATCCAGCAGAACTAGACTGAGTCTAGGGCAGTCATCTGCTGCCAACAGTTGGGGGGTCAGAAAATGAGACTGCACATATGTGAACCAGAAATGAAGCACAACAATACTGCATGTGAGTTGTTTTATAAAAGATTTTACTATTGTTAATATTAAAAGAAAATACATTTAATTCAATTCAAAACCTGCTGTCATTAAAAAGTAGCTTACTATCTCATTCTCATATTTCAGTGATATTGTCTCGAGGGCATACTCTGCATCTATCTTTAAATGTATAGTATACTGTATAATCAGCAACAAGCTGTACTTCTAGATCTAATTTGAGTGGTACCGAGTCACTGTGGACGTTTATACAGTGTTTTAGTTGTAGAACTATGTTTTCTGGGAATAACATATAGATGAAAATGCATCAAACGAAACATACCATGCCAAGCATGTTACAGTATACACTTTGTCCTCAGCAAACACAGCATGGCCAAAAAATGTATAGAAGTAGTGATGAACAATGAAAAGTATTGTGCGTTTACAAGTATGCAGATGAAGTAATGCTACAGAACAGAATTGGGTAACCAGCAACCAGTAAGACATTAATAATGCTCTTGGTTGTAACAAAATCTCAAGAAGTGTTATAGGGTTTTGTTTCTTTCTTGATATACGTTAGTGAAGGGCATTACTAAATTACACAGTTTTAGCTGCAAACTTGTCCACAAAGCAGTAGTAGTGTTCCTAGTGCAGAAACGGAAACAATAAACAGCATGCTGTAAAGGTAGCTGGCTATTACGAAAACTATTCTTGCACTGCTGCAGCTCTTAAAGAGGGGTGTAAAACTTGTTTTAGTTCATGGGCCACATAGTGTCACAGGTGGCACGGAAATGGACTCAAAAGCGTAAAAGGCTAGAATGGACTGGTTTGACTTGGGAGACGTGGAAGGTAGGATGCATGCGAAGAGTGGAAGGGAGCATAAGTATCAATGCTTTGGGGCTGAGAACCAAGTCAACCTCATGTGCTCTAACATAACGGAGGGACAGTTTGCTGTCGAGGGCAGCCAGCCATATCTTCTGTCCCAAAATATTTGAATAGCACTTCTGTCTGTAAGTGCTATTCATAAATGAGCTGAATTTATAAAACCACTAAACAAAGGCATGCACTTGCTTTATGCATATACTATTTATTGCTGCCTGCTGCCCAACCCTGCACCTGTCTGGATTTTTTTATTGTCACAATAAAGGAGCATCCTGATATAGGACAGGTAAATACATTTTCTTCCATTTCATCCCGTGTTTATTCTCTGCAGGTTTTGTTTACTCACCTCAGATAACATTGCTCTTCTCCTTAGACTTTTAGGTCCACTTAATTCTGAATCAATGTCCATCAGCAGGGACCAGAGGTGACTGTAAAGGCTTGAAAATTGTGCACTATTGATTACAGTACCATCCACCCCCACTAATTTAAACTGCGTGTGACATTATCAATACTGGGTACTGACCCAGTTTCACAATAACTGTTCAGGGAGTGTTTGTTGAGGCAGTGGATAGGTAGAGCTGTGTTTGAGAGGCTGCTGAATGCTGGGTAATTACTACAGAGAGTTGGGAATCCCTGATGATAAGATATGCCAGCAGCCCTTTTGTTTCTGGTTTTGCTTGTTTATTTGAGCTCTTCCTGCATAATGGACTGCTCGGTAACAAGGTCACAATGCACAAAATTACACCAGACACCAGAAGCATTTCTTTTTTGTGTGTTTCCATGTCGTCAAACACTAGTGGTAGTGGAGTTGTTAGTATAAGAAAAGGTTTGAAAATTATTCTCTCTTTTCCTTCTTCATTTTTGTTAAAATTGAAATAGTTTGGCATTAACGTAATGCCATTCAATTACATTAAATAGTCATGTTCATTGTACTACAGTTAACATATGATTATGGTTAATTGTGTACAATTCATACATTTAATGTGATGTGTGTTAGTCAAAGCAGAATGCTTAATGCTAATTATCGTGTATGCATTTTTAGATCCAAAGCCTCTACACATTTAGTTAGCAACACATTTCTTTGTTTTTATTTCTGTCAAATTTTGTCTGACTTAAAGTTAAAAAGGTAAGTAGTAAGGGGACACCAACATTTATCAAGCCCAATTATATTAACAAGAAGCACTCCAAGAGCACAAACCCACAACAAGGCTGACTATGGACAATAGGCCGACATGACAGATGTTTACTTTGATTAAACAAAAGTTATGTAGAAGTAGGTAATGATTAGTAATTAACTGGACATGAATAACTCAATTGCTTTCTCTTGACAATCCTTTCTTTGAATATTTAACTCGTTTTGGGATCAACTTGAAAGAAAGCCATGATGTGAAATGTAAAAGTAAGAGTTCATGTCAAATGTACATGATATTTAACTAACTATAGTGTGATATTTAGAATCCCTATATACCAGGATCATTATGTAAATGTTGTCAATACAGACAAGGCAATCAAATTTTAAGCATAGTTTTAAAAATAAAAGATATTTTATGAAGTTTGACATAGTCAAAGTTATACCTTGTTTGAACTTGTCAGAGGTAACATAACATAATAAGTAACATAATATTTTGAATCCCCATATAGCATTCCCTATATTCCTATTTGTTGACAATACAAACGATGGTAGTAAGAAATCTAGTTTCAAATAGCTCTATATAGCACTAAGATTTATCACTTTGACCACCAGATCAACCTTTTAGCTTTGAGAGGTCAAATGTGACATTGTACAGTACGTTCTAAATGTTGAAATTATTATCCGCATTATAAGGCGCACTTAAAATCCTTTAATTTTTCTCAAAAATTGACAGTGTGCCTTATAATCCAGTGCGTCCTATGTATTAAAACAGACCCATTCATTGGCAGTATGCCTTATGGTCCGAAAAATACAGTATACACCACAATTGTAAGTTATGAGGCTTTTTTGTCAATTTTTTGAGAATTTGTATATACTTGAATACTTGACAGTTCAGGAAACTGATCATTACAGGTTCAGTTGCTAAAGAAAGGATCTTGATGTAAGATAAAATTTGGATGGCTTTTTTTCATGTCTGAGGACATAATGATTTCTGAGTGAGTTAAGTTAGTAGCTTTTACCAAGTTATTATTAGATGCAAGTCCAAGCTCAAGTCGCATCTGTTTGAGGACAGTAGTTCGATAGCTTATTGCTGATGCAGTCACAAAATATAGAAACGCAGAGAATTGATAGTTTTTTTCAATTTTTGTTAGCAGAAAATTGAGCTATTTATCAGAAAAAAATAATAATAGAAAAACAGATTTGAGCTACAGCACTTAATACATTAGGAAGATAAGTTTTTGGACAGAAACCAAATTTTTGTAATTTTGTCTTTGTACGTTACACAGTAAAAATGGCAGTACTGACCCTATAGGTTTGAATGGTTACATTCAGGGCTTTATTGTCTTAGCACTTAATGTTAATTATGAAAATGGATTGACCACATTGTTGATTTTTAATTCAAGACCAGTATTTAGTACAATTTACTTCCCTATTATGTATATACAGTTTTTTGTTTCTTAACACAAAGCTTTAACTGTTTAAGGTTTAATTTAGATGTGGTCTTTAGATTTTGACAACTTTGACAACATCTCTTAGTACATTAATTTTCCACTCTATTAAATGTTGACAAAAAGTTGAAGATATGAAAAAAGCGAATAAAAAAAAAAAGAGAGATGCTGTTTTTGAAGACATGGTTAACTTTTTAAATTTGATCAAAAAATCTTTATCAGCCTTGATTGAAAAGTGGATTATTGGAATCAGCCATGATTCCAATAATACACTTTTATGTTTTTGTTTGGAATGGAAAACTCCATAAAAGCTTAGAGAAAACACAAACAGGCATTCATTTCATAAGAAGTGTTTAAGATCAACAGACACTGTCCAGCCAACATGGTTAAAACCCAGAAATCACTTTCACAGTACGACATCTAAAATTTAAATCCGCTCAGTAACCTACCCACATCTTTTAAGAGTCATCTATGAACTTTCAAAGCTGTAGTAGATACTAATAGTATCTGGGACCTAAAAGTATGGCACTAAAAGGCACTTTGCAAAATATGCAACAAAGCACTTCTAGAAGGTGAAAACAGCAAACTTGTTTTGCCACTAGAGCCATAAGCATACTATCCATTACAAACAGGCTAAGAAATAGAAAACACTGGTAAGTAATA